TTATTACTGCTTCTCTCTGATGACATTGCAGTTGACACTGCCCGTGATAAATCATAGTTACTTCAGTATTTTTTACTCAGATTATGTAATTTTGATTAAAGTTTTTGCTTTTTTGTTAAGCAAAAGGTGTGTTCCCATCTCATCACAGTGTAGTCACAGTCTGAACCATATACTATTCTTACATCTGCTTTCTAGGTTCATATTATGTGGAGCACTAACACCAGCCTTTTCTGTCAAGCTCTCGGGAATCTACAGAACCACTGCAGATGATTGTAATTTTGTTTCTTCTTATAGTGACTCAGAGGCTGAGAGGGTTAGGAGGCTAAAACTAACCCAAATTGTTGAGTTTTTCAATTTATTATTGTAGTATCTTGTTGTTACAATATAAAGTGCCTTGACGCAATTGTTGTTGTAATTTGACACTATAAAAATAAATTTAATTAAAAAACTTTCATGTTATTTTATGTTACCTTTATTTATTTTGTTTGTTCCCCTTCTTTGCCCTCACTATTTGTTCTCTCACAAATACTCACTGCTGGATTTAATAGAATTACAGGCATTATATACCATACACACTCACTTCAATATTTAAATATTACCATTGTCTGTAATGTTCTATGTATGTAATGTCTGAGAGAGAGAGCATATTCAAGAGTCTTGATGAGCACTGAAACTCCCTCTATGTAAAATACATCATACCTGAGAATCTGGAGTTGACACTGTGGACTGGACAAGCCAACAGAAAGCAGCTTCACCCCTGAATCCTGCAGCAGATTGTAATTCAGGGACAGAGTTCTCAGACTGGAGGACTGGGTGCTGAGGACTGATGAGAGTATCTGGCAGGATGCACTTGTGAGGCAGTTTCTTTCCAACCTAGATTTGAAAAGAAACACATTTGTTTTGACTCAGATGTTTAACCCCAAAACAAAACAAAACAAAAATTCTAAGATATACCACTGATCACAAAACCTGTGTATATCCAGACGGCATTTTGCTGTTCATATTCATCACTTCATAAAATATTCAAGCTTGTCAAAAAAAAAACTTATAAAATCTCCTACTATTCCATAAACTGGATCAACAGTACATCCATTACACATCCAAAGCATAGGCTGTACAGTTCATAAACTTCTTATCCCTATGTGGACAAGTTACAACACTTACCATCAATTCTCCATTTAGTTTGATTTATATAGCATCAAATCACAACAACAGTTGCCTTAAGGCACTTTATATTGTAAGGCAACGATCCTACAATAATACAAACAAAAAAAAACCCAAGCAAACAAGAAAACCCATCCACCCAATTATATATGACCCCCACTGAGCAAACGTTTTGGCATCTGTGAAAAGGAAAAAAACTCCCTTTTAACAGGAAGAAACTTCCAGTACAACAAGGTTCAGGGAGGGGCGGGGCCATCTGCTGTGATTGG